AATTTTGGTCAATGACATGAGACAAAGTATATGTGAACTGCTGTATGAAAAGTGAATTTACTCTGTAAATCTTCACCCAAATCCTAATAAAAAAATAATAATAATAATATAAAAAAATAAACCAATCTCACTGCCTTCGAGTTGGATCTGACTCTAGCGACCCCTTCTTGGGTTTCTGAGGCGGTATCACTACAGAAGTAGATTGCGTAATCTTCCTTCTGAGGAGTAGCTGGTGGGTTTGAACCACCAGCCTTCTAGTTAGCAGTCAAATGTCTTAGGCACTATTTATAAGACACTAGTGAATTCCCTCCAGAATTTTCAGATCACAGATTTTTCCAGTTCAAGTTTAACTGCTCATGTTCTGCTTGTGTTTTGTCCTCTTACACACCAGTTCTGTTTTCTAGGTTTATTGTGTCATACTGCACCTTCCACAGCTATAAAAATAAGTGGTCTATATATAAAATTGCTTGGCATTGCTTTGGATGTGTAGACTCAAACATTCACTAAATCCCATTAGCTAAAATCTTCAATTTATAAAATTAGTCATTTAGAAAGATCTATCTGAATCTGTTGCTGTTCTGGTTACCTAGTGCCGCTGGGACAGGAATATACCACAAATGGGATGGCCTTAACAAACAGGAGTTTATTCTTACAATTCGGAGGCTTTATGTCCAAGTTCAAAGTGCTAGGCTCTAGGGGCTGGGTGAAAGCCCCTCAACCTTGGGGTCCAGCTCCACCTCCTACTTCTGGCGTACTGGAGCTAGAGGCATTTCTTCACTCAGACAGCTGCTGGTTGCTGAGGCTGAGAAGCCCCAAGGTTGACAAGTAAAAAGGCACAGTCTCGATGTTACCAAACCACACGGCAGGCCATTAACTTAAGTCCATTGTAAGTCCCAAGGTTGGCAGAGCATAGCAGGCTGCTGAGCAATGACACAGCAACATGCAGGGTCCAAGCATGCCAAAGGCTAGAGACCATTCCCAGGGCTTCTCCTTATATACAGTAAGCAGACCACCCAAAGGCAACTACTCAGATGCTTGTGGTAGATCCCACCATGGAATTGATTGCCCGTCTCATCATGGGGAATAACTACCACCAGCTGCCCAGCCATTCAACCAGGACCAGCCAAGTTGACCCACAAACATAACTACCACAGTTGCTAACAAATGATTTCCCTTAAAAATGACAAACTTGACCCAACACTGTGATTACTGAGTTTTAACTTCCCTCAGTAAGTAAGTGATCAGACACTTGTCCCATTCAGATGATTATTTTCCTTTTAATGATCATACTAATTTGCAGATTTACTAGATGCCTGCTTCTGTTTATGTACTTTGCATTAAATTGGATTAACTGCCTACTCAATTGCTTAAATGTTTGGAGCCAAAATAAAAACATATTACCTTGAAAATTTAATTCAATAGTTTAAATCTGGGGCATGGGATCAAAATTCCTGCTGAAATTGGAATGTGGCAAATCTGATAAAATTTCAAGATTATAATCTTATCTTAAAAACAATTTGTATCATTTCCCTCAATTTCTAAGAATACAGTCCATCTTATTTATCTTCCAAACACACAAAAAAACCAAACTCAAGGCCACTGAGTTGATTCTGACTCACTGCAACCCCCACTGAGTTTCCAAGGCTGTAAATCTTTACAGGGGAGCTCTGGTAGCATAGTGCCTAAAGCACTTTGACTGCTAACCAGAAGGCTGGGGGTTCAAACCCACTAACCACTCCCCAGAAGGAAGGTTGGGCAATCTACTTTCGTAGTGATACTGCCTCGGAAACCCAAGGAGGGGTAACTATGGTTCGGATCCAACTCCACAGCAATGGCTCCGTTGGTTGAAATCTTTACAGAAGTAGATTGCCTATCTTTCTTTCATGGAGTGGCTTGTAGGTTCAAACCACCAACCTTTTGGTTAGCAGCCAAATGCCTGAACCACTACACCACTAGTGCGCCTTACTTATCTTAGGAATGAGAAAATACTTGGATCTGATTCATCCCATAAAAAAGGGTGTGTTTGTTTACACGCCTACCTGTGAGACATTCCTACAGTCACGGAACAAGAACTCCAGGCCATGAGGATGGGTTGGTTCCACAGACTGACTGACATCAATCAACCAGACCTATGGGAGTGTACAGCACACATTTATTTACATTCAGTGACTAACATTAAGTAATTCAACTTGAACACTGATAGCATTCGCGTCTCACCTTTCCAGCATGCCACAGCATGTTATACTCACTGAGGTCAGCATGGACAAGCGTACATTCGTTATATAACTGCTGCATCATCTGTGAGAAGGTATAGCAAACATTTAGGAAATGAAGAAACTTAGAACTTACCTATACAACTAAAATGTGTGTACTGATCAGTATTTTCCAGAGAAAGCAAAAGCAAGCCTAAAGAATTGATTTCCTCTTTACTTTGTACAGTTTAGGAGTGGGCTTTTTGAAGGTAGGGTGGGGGAACATTAAGACAATAGAGGAGAACAGCAAGATGAGTGTGTGACACTCTATTTCCTTGCCCACATGACAGCAAGGAGATGAGGAGGCCAAGGGGAAGAACTGGATTATTTAACAAGAATGACTGCAGCCCTGTCTCTGGTCAATGATGTTACAATGTTGAGGCACTAACCAAGGGACCGCGGTAAGCCACTTCCTTTCATAAAAGGACAAAGTCCTATTGAGAACTCTATAGGGTATATACAATTCCAAGGTAGTAAAGACCTAGTGGAAAAGAGATATTGTTGTGAATTAAATCGTATTATATATTCATTATTGATGATTGTGACCCCTAGCCATACAGTCAAAACGAACATTAATAAACTTCTCTCCAGACTTAACAGAACCAGGGAAGGTACTTTACTACTTCATCTCTTCTCCAGCTACCCTATCTCCCAAAAAAGTCAGAAAAACGGACTGGAACTTACTGTCAGTGTTTTCCTATTGGATCATCTCTTCAGAAATATTTATTTATTTTTATTTTAACTTTTTATTGTGATTTGGATCAAAGTTTACAGAGTAAATTCAACAGTTCATACACATTTTGTTGTCTAGTTATATTTTTAAAAATCAGTACCACTTTCATATTCTTTTCATATTCATTTCAACACTGGCTGTTGCATGACATGATAGCTCCACACAGAGACTATGTAGAAAGTATGTAAGTTTCCCCATAGTTCAATTAAAACAATAAAGAGAGGTAATTTTCTTAAGTGAGAAGGATCTCAGATTGAATGCACTTGCTGTCCTAAAGCCTAAGTAACTTGCTCAAAATTTGTGACAGGAGCTTTCAGCTCTAACACCTGCACAAATGGAGAAACCCACTCCCTACCATTTTTAGTTTTGATCATCACTTTCTTATTATGAGACCAAATCTGCTTCTAATTTCTAACAATAATATTGGTAATTCCTTCGCTGTTAGAGCTGTACCATGCAAGGTGGCACACAAGCAATGCGGCAAACGTGGTAATGCCAAATTTTCTTTATGGAAGCTTTGTGAATAATAGCTTCAAGCTTCTATGTCACTAATGCTAACTAATGCTTTCACTTGTTCCCTAAGTCTATAATTTTTAAAAAATGACTCAACACCCATAAATTGATATAAAAATAACTCCTCAAGGTTAACAGTCTTACACAAATTTCATTTTGTCCTAGTTATATCACCTTGAAATGATGGTATTTTAGAAAATCTTTTTTAAAAAGTTTAGAATGAATATTTTTAAAAGGTGGTATTTGTATGCTTTAAAGGCATAACTCACATGAAGAGTTTGATAGTAGGCTTCTTTCATTTCTTCACTACTGAGCTTTACTTCTTTTAATTTAGGAGCAGGAACTTGATCATGGCCAATAAAAGACATAACTAAAATGTGTTTTTTGAGCATTACAACTGTTGGACAAGGAATTCCAGCTCTCTGCATTCTGTACAGAAAGAGATGATTAAGAATGTGAAGATTAAATGAGGAAAATCTTTCATTTATTCAACAAGTATCTAAGCAGGGCCTGCAATAAGCTAGCCCACTCTACTTTATCCTGGAGATGTGGGACTAGAACGACATTAACACATAGCCTCTACACTGAAGCAACTCAGGGTCTGGTGGAAATGACAGACAAGTGATGAGACAATCACAGCACAGTGTGAAACACACTGACAGAAGTGTGGGGAGGAGCTGCGGGAGCACACAGCATGGAGGAAGGATTATTAGAAGAGCAGGGGGGAGAACAGGAATTTGCCAGATTAGGAGTGCGAGGACATGCTGGTTAGAGGAAGTGGTTTGTGTAAATGCATGGAGGCATTCAAGAGCACAGTCCATTTGGGAAATATATATAAATCAATATAGCTAGATCTCTGAGTAGGAGGAGTGCAATTTGGGTTAAGGCTGTAGAGAGGCAGGCTCTGTATCACAAAAGGAGACTGAAATTTATACTAAAGGCTATGGAAGTTGTTGAAGATCGAGGGCAGCAAGACCATGTAGGAAAAAAGTAGAAGAATTCTGAAACTACTAAATATGTATGATTACTTTTGAAAGCAAGTATCTTTAGAAAAGAACAAACTAAAATGAAGCTTTCCACAGATTAAGATAATGAGGATATTTATCAATGGGAAGGATTATTACTCAATTACTTGGATGATAAAAAAAATTCCTTGGTAAATATAAACTGCTTAGAAAATTGAGAAACAAGCCTAATAAATAATAAATTAAAGGAGAATTCAATTTGACTGATAAGATTCCATCCCCAAGAAATGAACAAATACTAGATGCAGTAAACATTTTCTGAAACAAAAAAGGAAATCATTATTTATAGTAAAACAAAAATCTTTGTTTCTTGAGGAAGACAATTTTTAAAATAGCATTTGGATATATGAAGAACTGTCTTAGGCAGAAAATGCCTTATTTTCCCTCAACCTTTTGTGACGAAATGGAAAAAAAAAAAAAAAAAAAAGGCCTTTTCTTCCTAAAAGTATGAATTTGGGTTACATACACAGAAATGTTTTCTTATAAAAAACCTTATTGAATACTAGAATTTCAAGGCCTTTCATTATTTCTATAAATGAATTTGAAGATACAGATTTTCTGCCTGGCTGGGAGTCCTACCACCACCAGGGAATTCCCCAAGATTCTCCCCAGCACAACGGTTTGCTTTACCTGGTGAGATTGTGCATTTCTTTTTCTGCCCACATGCGGATGATCTTACGTGGATTTAGTTTACTGAAGCGATCTTTAAACCTGAAATCATCTTTAATGTATTTGTCACGATTCTTAAACTCATTAAGGGTTGTTTTAAATACCTTGATGGCACATTCTGTAGGTACAACTTTACTATCTTCCTTTTCATCCTCCATGCTAAGTGGAAGGGAAAAAAAAAAAAAGTAAGTACAAGTTGCCAGCTCACAAGTGAAACAATTCCAAATAAGATTCTATGACACTAGATCTACCTTCTCTGAAATGTCAGACCTATATACATATGTGGGAGCTCTGGGAGTGCAGTGCCTAAGGCATCCATCTGACTGCTAACCAGAAGGCTGGTGGTTCACACCCACCAGCCACTCCACGGAAGGAAGACTGGGTAATCTTCTTCCATATAGATTTACTGACTTGAAAACCCAA